TCTTCTTCCCCAAGCAAAAACTGACTTATCTGATTGGCAGAATATGAGTTCTGGATGCTTCACCTTTCAAAGTGGCCAATCCTCCAGACTCATTCTCAGCTCTCCTTTGCCCACAAGGGAGACCTGGAAATACCTGGCTGGGTAGGTGACTGGCTAAATAAACTCACTTCAAGGCGGATGTACTGGGAGGTGCATCTGGCTGAAACCCAAACCACCTCCTCCTACTCAGCTTTTCCAGTAATAAAGCTGATTTCGGTCTCCAGCTGTCTGACTCCTGGGTCTGCTTTTCCATTAGTCACCCTTTCTCAAACCGTAATACGCAGTTGTTTGCTCATAGAAAATAAATTGTTCTTCTTTCGTGGAGTAATATCATCCTGAAGCCTTTTGTGATTTATATAAGATATCTCATATTTTTCATACTCGGATCAGTCATCTTGTCCTATATGGTTTCAGGATTTTATTTCATGTTTAGGAAAGCCATCCACACCTCCAAAAATATGAAATGATTTTCATAGAAGGGTATAAATAGATAGGGAATAGTGCTTAACAGGTACTTAAGTTTATTAAGATTTTGGTAACCTGAATTATACATTAAAATCAGGCAGGCCCCTGGCTTAGAGGATTTGAAATTATTTTATCTTTAGAAGAAAAAATTCTGTTCCACTCTAATGTCTTGGGCTTCCCCACATCTTGCAGAGATCAAAGACAGCATCAGAAATTCCATGAGTTTCTTTAGCTTCTCGAAGTTGTGCCTTTGAGCAAGTCGTTAACATAAATGCTGGATTTTCTGTACTATCCCAGACAGCGATTTGGGGATCTCATTCTAGGATCCAGAGGTAAGTGCTTAAATCATATGAGATCTGAAATTCTTGTTATTCTTTCTGAATCTTAAAAAACTTTCCGATATTGTAAATATCCTTAGTCTTTGTGAAAACATATATAGCACCTGGCATTTTGTTAAAGTTTTTATTGTCATATAGTCACTGATCATGCATTTCGTGGCATCAAACAATTTTAAACAAATTCTTTCTGTATTAGAGCTTTCTGCTTCAGCCAAGGATTAACTGATTAGCTGTTACGCTGGGTAAAAAACCGTGCACTTTTCTCCAATCTCTGTACACTGGCACATGACATGTTCTGCCACTGGCCAAGGCTTGGTAACAACCAGCAGAAGAATTGTATTTCACAGTACCTGTCATGACCTCTGTGCCCATATGATATTTTGACAGCTACACCAAAATGTATTTAATCTTGGGGTTAGTAGTATGCGTTGAATGACACGTGTATGAGAGTTCTCTCTTCTAGCCTCCTGACTCTATTTTAAATGAGGTTTCACTTATTAATTTTTCACAAATACAATATAATTTTTGCATACTGTTCTTGTATCCTTACAATTTTGCTGAACTTTAATTGGCTCTGATAGTTTTTTAGTGGACTCCTTAGAATGTTCTAAACATAAGATCGTGTCATCTATAAATGAAAATAATTTTTCTTTTCCAATCTTGATGCCTTTTAGTTCTTTTCTTGCTTAATGGCTCTAGCTCGACACTTCAGTACAGTATCTCTATGATCTCTTTTGCTCCTCACAGACCTTTAGTTCCTTGTAGATCTCAGCTGTGTTTCAAATGGTCACATTTGCAGGATTAAGGACGTCTAGATGAGTAAGGTGTTCACGAGCTGACTTTCCAAAGGCTGCTTGATTCTTACGCACACACTTTCCATAACCACCTGTTTTTATATTATATCCATTTCCTTTCCTCCTTAGGAAGACTTTCTGAAGAACAGCCTTCCTTGTGGAATCAAATTCTAACATATCATTTTTAATTTATTTTTTGTAGGCAGAAGGTCCTACTAGTCTATGTTGAAACTGATGTATCTTAATTCCCTCTATCTAGATTCCCTATTCAAAGTCAGATGACCTGGCCTTAAGCTTTGATTCTGCCATCCATTTGCTGTGATTTTTGGCAAGTTAATTTACCTTCTTGGTTCTTTTTCCTTTTCTGTAAAGTGAGAGAGTTGAAGTAGATGATAGCTCACATAAGGTCTCTCCCCAATCTATTGTTTAATATATCTAATAACTTATGCCATGTCAGATGGAAAGAAAATGAGAAGTTAGGATTCCAATAGGATAAAGGTCTAAGCTACCTTCCTTCTTTAGTAACCTATTAGTAGTTTACATAATAAAGGAAGTTTCAAGATAACTTGTTTGGATACAAATAAGAGAAGCCTGGATCGCAAACCTTTGTTGTCAAAACCCCAGCCAACTGATAGCCAGGATGGATCAAAGCACAGAAGAATAGAAAGGGAACTTTCTTTGCCCAAGGTACAACTTGGAGCTGAGAGAAGCTGTCAGCAGCAATAAGAACTTATTGATTTCAAAATATTCTGTATATAGAGGGACAAAGGCCAGTAGCCTTATGTTTGACCTTGGACTTGGGAGTAGGTCAGTGGCAGCAATAACTACCTGTTTGTCTGAACCCATCCTAAGCCTGAGACCTAATTCAGCCTGTGGGTGATTTCTGACAACCAGTGACACCTAGGCAAACCTGAAGGACTCTGAATCTAATTGGTATATGAGAAAGAAGTTAAGATTGTAAGATTTAATATTTTTATTAAGATTTTTTCCATTATAGAATACAAAATTGAAAAATACGAAAGTACAAATGCTACCACTCGGTTACAACCACTGTTAATATCTTCCTGTATTTCATTTATTTATTGATTCTCTTAATACAAATATTACTTAACGCCTCTTAGACTTACTGCATTTTTTTTCCCCCACAAGAATGTTCTGTTGTTTGGAAGGCTCATATTTACTTAACCTATCCCTTTCGAACAGACATTTTGGCTGTTCAGTTCATTTGCTATCACAAACAACTCTGCCTTGAACATCCTTATATACATATATTTGTACTCATGCACAAGTACATTTTTTTCAACACTGAAAATAATCAGTATTTTGTATTTTGATAATTGATAGATGACACAGTATTCTCTTATTTCTTAATTTGTATTTCTTATATCTTAAGTTGGATGTTTTTATATATTTATCAAACTATTTATGTTTCTTTTTCAGTAAATTGCCTGTTCCTATTTTTGCCCATTTTTTGTCTTTCTAATGTGTAAAATTAAAAAAAAAATTATATTATAAAGATTAACTCTTTCAAGAGAAACAAGAGAAAACATAGGACTACACCAAACTAAAAAGTTTTTACATAGTAAAGGAAACCATCAACAAAACAAGAAGACAACTTATTGAATGGGAGAAGATATTTGCCAATGATATATCCAATAAGGGGTTAATATCCAAAATATATAAAGAACTCATAGAATTCAACACCAAAAAAACAAACAATCCAATTAAAAAATGGGCAGAGGACCTAAATAGGCATTTCTCCAAAAAAGATATACGATGACCAATAGACATATGAAAAGATGCCCAAAGTCACTAATCATCAGAGAAATGCAAATCAAAACCATAATGAGATATTACCTCACACCTGTCAGAATGGCTATCAGGAATAAATCAACAAACATCAAGCGTTGGTGCGGATGTGGAGAAAAGGGAACTTTCATGCCCTGTTGGTGAGATTGCAAATAGTGCATCCACTATGGAAAAACAGTCTGGGGTTCCTCAAAAAATTGAAAAGAAAATTATATGGCTCAGCAATTCCACTTCTGGGTATTTATTCGAACAATTCCAAAACACTAATTCAAAAAAGTATATGCACCCCTATGTTCACTGCAGCATTATTTACGATAGCCATATTTAAGATATGGAAGCAAACTAAATGCCTATCAATAGACAATTGAATAAAGAAGGGCTGGTACATACATACAATGGAATAATACTTGGCCATAAAAAATAACAAATCTTATCATTTATAATAATATGGTTGGACCTGGAGTGCATTTTGCTAAGTGAAATAAGTCAGAGAAAGACAAATACCATATGATTTCACTTACATTCGGAATCTAAAGAACAACAACAGAACCAACAAAAAAGAAACAGACTCATAGATACAGAGAACAAATTGGTGATTGCCAGATGGGAAGGGGATTGAGGGGCTGGGTGAAAAAGGGGAAGGGGTTAAGAAATACAAATTGATAGTTACAAAACAGTCACAGAGATGCGAAGTACAGCACAGGGAGCATATTACAATAACAATGTAATAACTACAGTTAGTGCCAGGTGGGTCCTAGACTAATCAGGCAGATCACTTCATTAATTACATAAATATCTAATCACTATGTTGCACACCAGCAACTAACAATTTTGAATGTCAACTGTACTTTTTTAAAAATAAAAGAAAGGTTAGCCCTTTATGCAATCTTCATGCTACGAATATGTGGCCTTTTTACTCTAATATTCTTTTCGTCCCAAATTTAAATCTTTTTAGATAGTCTAATTTATTTCCATTCTGGCTTCTGGGTTTTGTGTCTTATTTAGAAAAACCTTCTGCACTTCAAAATTATTTTATAAAATTACTTTATAATTTCTCCTAGAATTTTTTCCAGATTTTTTGTTACACTTAAGACTCTAGTCCATATGAAAATTATTCAAGGATAGCAATCAGCTCTAATGTTTGTCTTTTCTAACCTTGACTCTGTGTTCAATGATCCAGCTTCCTGGGAGTTCCAGAACAATCCAGACTTTCCAGATCCTTGGAGACATGACTGAACCCAACTTATCGACACATTGCTGGTTGTGACCTAGGACCCCTGAGTCCTCTCCTACTCACTGAGTCCTTGGTCCCGACCCCAGGGGGAATCTGGAAAGACTTTTCTCATGGAGGCAGGTGGGCCCCAGGTGGCCCCACAGGGACCTGGATGCCCATTTGTCTCAGTCACAGGCTGTGGCACTTCCTCTGTAAATTCAGCCCTGGCTGCTTTCCACTCTTCCCTCCCATCCCATCTGCGCACTGTCCTACCAGCTCTCCTCTGAGGAAATTTGCATCCTGCAGCAGACGGAAGGCCCTTGAAGAACTGCTTCTTGAGCTATGGTCTGTTGGGCTGCCCCCGTACTACTCCTGGCCGTGACTGTCTCCTTGGTGGGGTCACCAGTTGCCCAAGCATCCCAATCTGTGAGTAAGACTGGGGTGAGGACCCTGGGAAAGGCTGCAGAGGGGACAATAGGGTCCTCTGGGTGTGAGAGGCAGCAAGGTATGGGATGAAACAATAGGTGGAAAGGAATGGGCTGGAGGGAGAGGAGGTAATGTATAAAAAAGAGGCTGGTTTGTTAGAAAGTCTCTGAGAGTTAAATTAAGCCTTATTTTCCAGGGCGTGAGGGCAGCTTGCTTTCTTTCGTTGAGTCCCTGTGTACTCCGATGATGCATACTGCACTTCGGATAAAGGCTCTTTTATCCTAAGTCAAACTTTCAATTTAAAAATGAAAAGAAAAGGAAACCTTTCCAAAGTCGGGCACCACTGGCGTGGAGGGCGACAGAGAAACCGAGGAAAGGCAGCAAAGTCTCCTTCAGTACTTTTCAACAGCGTTTTCTCCCAGGCGGCTATCTCTGTCTCTGTTTCCAGCCATATCCTTGTCTACGTCCATATTTGTTTTTAAATAGATGTCCACATACACATAAAATTTTGAGAGGAGGAACTGGTGAGGAATAATTTACAGGAACTGGAGACTAAGGGAAGCCGCTTCCTCTGTTTACCCTCCCCCACCCCCCGTGGCAATTCCTATGAAGGGAATAGAAGTCCCTAACCCTCTGGGCCACAGTCAGCTCTGCCTAGCCCTTCTTCCGGAGCTCCAGACTCAGCCATTTCAATTAACCTGGAGGCCCAGGGACAGGAAAATTCAGGAAGGAATTAAGCAAAGCATGTTGACTCTCCAGGATGTGCCTCGTTCCTACACTCATCCCTGACGGCTCCCTGGGGCTGCATCCCTCCACCTCCTGCCAGGAGCCTGCTTTCCACTTCTGATGTGCCATCTTAATTCCAGGCAAAAAGAGGAACTTCAAAGAAACCGGTCATGCCAGACTAGCCAGGCTGGCCCCTGAGCCGCTTGGGGAAGAAGGTGTTCCTGGGAGACACTCGGGGTCAGCCTCTCCTTAGAGGTCTCTTGTGTGTGCTCTGTTCTAGGGACCTAGTCAGGCCCAAGGGGGATCTGGGCAGCAACTGGACCCAGAGAGCGGAGCAGGTGGTAAGTGGATAGAGGAGGAGGAGAGGGAGCAGGGAATGAGGTGGAAAGAAAGGACCGAAGCCACAGTGAGGGGCGGGGTTAGAGAGGGCTGGACCCGGGGCTGGTCAGGCAGGTCTGTACACTGGTTCTCTCACTGTGAGGCCTTGAGAAAATCATTCAAAGGCAGGTCTGTACACTGGTTTTCTCACTGTGAAGCCTTGAGAAAATCATTCGTCTTTGAGAGCCATCTATGAAGTGGGGGTTTTTGGGGAGGTGACATGAAGCAAGATGTCTCAGTGCACCACAGCTAGATGAGTTATTACCTTCCTGAGTCCTCACTGCGCATAGACAGGCTATGGGAGGTGGGATCGGCTCTGGGTTCCTGGCAGTGATCAGCTAAGTGTGGGAGGCACGAGGAGACTGGCCCATGGCCTCGCTGCCTCTCCTCTCCAGCTGTCCCCTCTTCTCCTGCAGAATCAGTCCTGGTCTCTGTCTATGTACAGCTGGATTTTTCAAATGAGACCTGGCCAATGGCACTCTCCAGAGCCTTGACTCTGCCGCAGGCCTTGGCTTCCGCTTCACCTAGAACTCTCACTGGCCTCAGCCTCACGACAGGTAGTGGGGAAATTCTACTTAATCCTGCCTCCCAGAGCCACTGAGCATGGAAGGGGGCTCGGAGTGAAGGGAATATGGGCTTCCCAGGCCCCCTGCAGCCAGCTTGCCTGAGATGCTGCCAGCCTCTCCTTGTTTCTCGGAGGGTCTGCATGGCCCAGCTCCTTCCTCACCTCCCTGCCTCTCCTGAACGGAGGGCCCCAGGGGCAGATAGTGGTGGGCCCAGCCTTCTCCACCGCCACCCCAAAGCCTTTGCCCAGCTTGACCTCCGCTGCTTTGAACCCCGGCTGAGGAGGCAGGCCCCGATGGGTGGGTGTGACTGAGACACCTGTGACTTTGGGTTTGTTCCAGCCCCAGAGGCTCTTAGGCATCAGGCACTACCTACCTGGCTTTCCCAGCCAGCCTGCCCACTTCTTATTTCTTTTCCCTCTGTCCCAGAGTGTAATGTTGAGAATAACGGGTTTACCAGCTGTGCTTGCCTCTCTGGATACCAGTGGAACGCCAGTGTCTGCGCCAGTCACCATCCTTGCCGCCCCCGCTTCAAGCACCAGCCCTGCAGTTGTCTTGTCATCGGTCCTACTGAAGCTGGGTACTGCCAGTTGCTGCCACCTGGTGAGAAAGGAAGGGACTAAGCGAAAGAAACCTCTGTTTTTCCCTCTCTGACCCCTGTATTTCCGCCAGGTGACCCAAGCCCAGCGGTTCCACTGGTTGGGAGAAAATGCCAGCCATCAAAGCAGATCACAGGCCCCAAGCTTGGGACCTGAATAGTGAGACTAATGAAAAATAGGGCTCCAGAAACATTCTGACAGGAGAGAGAGTGTTCCCTCACTGGGGGAGGGGAAGTCTTAAACCAAAAAGTTTCCCTGTTTGGTTCCCAAAGACGGATGGGGTCTCCTAGGCTGGACTGCAGCAGCCACTCTCGTCTAAGGACAAAACAAAACAAAAATTACCAGGTGGGGTGGGGGGAGGGTAGTGAGGAGAAATGGGCTACAGAAGCCAGGAGCATCGAGCACTTAGCCAGGCGTGGAGAGCCGCAAGTTCCTGCTCCAGGCCCGTCTCCTGCCTCCCTGCAGTCCCTGGGACCCTAAGCCTGAACACCTCGCTGCAGATGCCTGGCGACACGCTGAACCTGACCCTCCTCACCAGCCATGAGACCGCCAACCTGAACTGGTTCCTGCAGCGCACAGGGAGCCCCAGACCTGTCCTTCTGCAGCCAGGGACACATGTGTCCCTAACCTCCAGCCAGGGTCAGGCTGTCCTCAGCATCTTCAACATCTCCCACAAGTGGGAAGGTAGCCAGCTCTCGCCTCCTCTCCTCTTCCTCCTCCTCCCTCTCTCCTTCCTTCTCTTCTCCTCTTCCTTTCCCTTTTCACCTTCTCATTTATTCATTCTGGGAAACAAAGGCTAAGAGGCCCATTAATGTGAAAAATTATAAAGGGAGAATGCTGAAAATATGATTTCGATTTCAACTGAGAACAGATTATGCTTTTCTTCAAACTGTTGAAATGGCAGAGGGTGGCATGGGAAGGGTGCCTGCTGGGAGAGAGGTTCACCTTAAAATTCATGGCTACAGGCTAAAAAGAAAGGGTCAGGAGCCTCAATTCCAGATCTCTTCTTCCTCCTAGAAATCTTTTTGGGGGCAGAGATCTTTCTTGCTGGGGTTTAGCAGAGGCTGGACCAAGAAGGTCAACCTGGGGCATGGCTTGGGAAGCAGCAGAGATTCTGTGGCACAGGTTGGGGCTGGAGGAGCCGGGAGGTACAGAAGGTGTGTGTCTGCAGGTGTGTACATATGCTGCTTTGAGGCCCAGGGCTTCAGGTGGGAGCTGTACCAGGTGGTAAGGGTGCCCCTGCAGGTGACAGATGTGGCTCAGCTTCCAGACCAGCTCTCCATCTCCTGTGCTACCTCCCCTGGCTTCCAGCTGAGCTGCTGCTTCCCCCGCACACACCTGAGCTACACGGCTTCCTGGAGCCCCATAGAGGGCAGCAAAGGTATGGAAGGGGGCCCGTTGTCAGGGCTCAGGGGAGAGGGAACAGCTCGTCTCCTCCAGGCAGCTGGCTCTCCAGCTCACCTGCAGCAGAGGCTGAAGTTTATCCTGGGAATTCCAGGTCCAAGTCCAACACTATTTTTACCCCATAAAGCAATCCCAATTCCATCAATACAACAATAACTACGTCAGTGGAGATAACTTTTTGTGCAGTGCGTTTATCCACACGATCTTGTTAAACTCTCACAATATACTCTGTGAGGTTCATTTGATGATAGACCCATTTTACAAATAAGGAAACTGTGACTTCAAGTCCCCAGGCTAGTCAGAGACGCCCAGAGTGCCCTTCACCAAAATCCAAGCTCTGTCTTCAGTAGTTCGATGCTGTCATACCACTTGGCTCTTTCCCACTGTTTCATGTGCTTCTGAAGTGCTGCAAAGACCGAAATGGCATCTCTGAGCCTCCTGGGTTCTAGGTCTTTTCCTGGCCCAATGACTCTTCCCTTTTCTCGTCTTACCCTCAGCCTCCTTATTCGACAAGCCAGGAGACCAGTGCCTCGTGCTGACCGTTCAGCGCTGCCCCACGGCTGATACCACGTACACGTGTGACCTGGAGAGCCCAGGACTGACCCCTCTCAGGGTCCCTGTCTTTGTCACCATTATCCAGGGTACGTGGGGCTTGAGGTCCTGCTGGCTGGCCTCTTGCGTGCCCCGGGGGCTCCTCCTCCTCCTTGGTCTCTCCCCGCACTGGGCAATGGGGCCAGGCTCCAGGGCCAGCACAGCTTTCTGCCTAAGGGAAAGCTCGGGCCAGACTGTGGTTGCTGAGGCCTCCCTGACATATCATTCCTCAGGTGGAGACACTACTTGCCCTGAGGACTCCTCAGCTATTGCCTGGAATGTCACCAAGGCTGGTCATGTGGCACAGGCCCCATGTCCCGTGAACAGAATGGGCGTGGTGAAGAGGACTTGTGGGCCTGATGGGACCTGGAGGCCTTCCCGCAGCAGCTGCACAGACGTAGGGCTCCTGGCCTTGCTCCAGAGAGCCCAGGTGAAGCTTCCAGCCCTGCTTCCCACATGCCACACGCTCCATGACCTACCTCATTCTCACTCAGGATCCAGGTCTAGAACCTGCCCAGCCCAAAGGTTATTCAGCTTCTCTGAACTGGGGCCCTAGCAGAGCCAGGCATGAGGTGTAGGGCCTTCAAGTGGCCAGGACCCCCATGGAGGGGAGGGCGCTAATCTCCACCCTACTAAGTGTCTGTCCCATTTATAATGGTGTCAGTTCCTTCCACGTAGCCTACTCTGCTCTCTGCTTCCTGATCCTCTGGGATGAGGTACAGCTCTGGGCAAGAAGGAGCTGGTTGAGAGAGGAGGTGACCCTCTCATATGAGGACCCACCCCCCAAATGCACACACTACTGTCTTATCTGTCTCAGCTGCTGGGGGCAGGCCAGGGCCGGCCTGCTGACGAAGTGCCACGGATCCTGGCACAGCTGCTGGAGCGGGTGGTGCTGGTGAACTCCCCCTCTGACTTGTTGGCACTTCTGGGCACCATGACATTCCTGGCCAAGACAGTGGCAGATGCCAGAATACAACTTCACCGCAGGGCCCTGGAGGTAAGATCTCCGAGCTACAGCAGGTGCCAGCTGAGTAGAAGAGGCTGGAATCGCCTCACCTTCAGGCACTTCTGTCCCTGACATCACCATGGGCTGTCAGACAACAGGCCTCTAGAATCCGGTGTCTGCTCTCCTGGTCCATCTCTCCTCTTGGACACCAGTCTCTAAGGCCATGGAATCTGGAGGAGGTTTGATGCTGGGAACACACGGGAGGTCAGGAGAGAGGAGGAGGGGTGTGTAGACATGAGTCAGAGGCATACATCCACATGCAGACAGGTGGCTATGACGCGAATCTCCCCATGCACCCACACCTGCACATACAAGACACCTATGCAGATACTCAAACACACTTGGCCTTGCTGAACTCACCTAAACCAGCTCTCAATATACGCATCAGTTGGTGACCCATAAGCTCCAGCCAAAAGAATAACCAGGGTCAATGACACAATGTGCCCCTCATGTCTGGGAATATATCACGTGTTGCTGTATAGACATGTATGTGGCCCTCTACTTCAGAACATTGTGCCCTCTACTACCATTTCTAGCTTCACAGAACTGTAGGGGTCAAGGAATTGGAGAGGGATCCCTTTAGGGCCTGGGTGACCCCAAGGGGTGAAGGGATAAGAAGAGTTGTCAGACAGAGGGGCAGGATGTGCTTCAGAAGGCCACATACTTGAAGATGCCCCAGGGGTTAGCTAAACTGCTCCCACATTCTCCCTATCTGGAAACTCTCCTTTCACAGGCCTGTTTTCCTCCCCCCCTTTCTCTCCAACCTTGCACTGGACAAGGAAAGGGGGGTTCGAGGGTCTACGGTTGTCAGGATGCCTGGCTCAGTGCTGTGGGATCTAGGAGCGAGGGCTCGTCTCTCTTTCTCTCGTGTGCCACAGGCTCTCTTGAAAACCACAGACAAGGTCCTAGACCTGGATGCCAGTTCTTTGTGGACCCCGGCCCAGGCCCAGAAGCCCTCGGCGGGCTCAAATCTCCTGCGGGCTGTGGAGACCCTGGCGTGCAGCCTGAGCCCACAGGCCCGCCCCTTCTCCTTCAGCTTGCCCAATGTGCAGCTGCAGACCCAGCTCCGTGTACCCGCGTTTTCTGCTGACTACAAAGTCTCCTTCTCCACTCAGCCCCCAGTGCAGGTGCAGATTCCCAGACGCTCGCTGACCCCACTGGGCCATAATGGAACCAACGTCATTATTACTAGCCTGGTGCTGCGAAAACTGGACCGCCTCCTGCCCTCCAACTATGGACAAGGGCTGGGGGCCCCCCTCTATACCACTCCTGGCCTGGTCCTTGCCATCTCCATCATGGCAGGTGGCCAGACCTTTGGCCAGGGAGAAGTCATCATGGACTTTGGGGACACAAACAGCACCCTCCACTGTGTCTTCTGGGACCACGATCTCTTCCAGGGCAGCGGGGGCTGGTCGGATGAAGGGTGCCAGGTGCAGGCGGCCAGTGCCAGCCCCACCACTCGGTGCATCTGTCGGCACCTCACTGCCTTTTCCATCCTAATGTCCAGACACGCTGTTCCAAAACCCCCCGCCCTGGAGCTGCTGAGTCAGATGGGCTTGGTGGCCTCCATTCTGGCACTGCTCGTGTGCCTGGGCGTGTACAGGCTGGTGTGGCGAGTCGTGACACGGAACAAAGTTGCCTACTTACGTCACGCAGCCCTGCTCAACATAGCGCTCTGTCTGCTGGCTGCAGACACCTGCTTCCTGGGAGCCCCACTGCTTCCTCCAGGGCCCCAAAGCCCACTCTGCCTGGCCGCTGCCTTCCTCTGCCATTTCCTCTACTTGGCCAGCTTTTTCTGGATGTTGGCTCAGGCCCTGATGTTGGCCCACCAGTTGCTCTTTGTCTTCCACCAGCTCTCCAAGCGCCAAGCACTCTCCCTGATGGTGGTCCTCGGCTACCTGTGCCCCATGGGGTTTGCAGGTGTTGCCCTGGTCCTCTTCCTACCCCAAGGGCAATACCTGGGGGCGGGCGCATGCTGGTTGGATGGGAAGGGAGGAGCGCTCTACACCTTTGTGGGGCCAGTGCTGGCCATTGTGGGCGTGAATGGGCTGGTACTAGCCGTGGCTGTGCTGAAGTTGCTGAGGCCTTCGCTGTCAGAGGGACCCCAGTTGGAGAAGTGCCAAACCCTTCTGGGGGTGATCAAAGCCCTGCTTGTTCTAACGCCCATCTTTGGCCTCACCTGGGGACTGGGCCTGGCCACTCTGTTAGAGGACGTCTCCATAGTCCCTCACTACATCTTCACCATTCTCAACACCTCCCAGGTGGGTAATATTATGCTGCCTGTGCTTTTTGCCTTTGAGATGGTCTAAGTCATGGTCAATCCCTTTTCAAGACGGTATCATGGTAGAGTAGAAGTAACACAGATCAGGACTTTAAGAAGGCTTACTTAGGTTTGCATCCCATTCCTCCACTGACCAGTTGAATGACTTTGTACAAACTTCTCTGGGCTTTGATTTTCTTATTGGTAAAGTAATATCTGGTTTTGCTGGAGAAGTCAGGGAATTGTCAGTACCCAATTCTATGACAGCCCCTTTGCAACCAAAACAGTAAGGAAGGCAGTTGAAGTGGTCGCATGCACCAAAGGTGCCAAGGCACAGAAGAGCCGAGATGGGAAGCCTCGGGATCAAATCAGACAAGAGAACAGAGGTGAACAAAGAGGAGAGGGGATGTTTGATTTCACTTGATTCCTTCTTCCTTGACTAACTTATCCCCATATCCCTCTTGTCAGGGTGTCTTCATCTTACTGTTTGGTTGCCTCATGGACAAGAAGGTGAGTGTGCCCACCTAACCCCCGCCTGATTCATGTCTGAAGGCCCATAACTGGGCATTTATATCTCCTGCAGGTACAAGAGGCTTTACTGAAACGATTCTGCCATGCCCCAACCCCCAACTCTACCATTTCTTTGGTAAGTTGCTGGCTTCATATCCTCAGTTCTCCCGAGGGCAGGTCAGAAGCAGATGTTCTACAGCCTTCCCCAGGGGAGATGGGCACGGCTAGAAGCCGAAAGAAGACTGGAATTTTGTTTTGTTTTTTGGGGGAATGAGCCTGTTTCAGGTTCGAGCTCTCCAACAATGCGGAAAGCAGCCTAGTCAGAAAAGTCAGAATCGAGTCTGTGGCCATGCCACCCTGAACAAGCCCGATCCCGTCTGATCTCAGAAGCTAAGCAGGGTCGGGCCTGGTTAGTACTTGGATGGGAGACCTAGGAAGACCAGGTCGTGTAAGTGTGAAAGAAAGAGGAAAGAGGAGAGAGAGAGAGACAGAGAGAGACAGAGAGAGAGAAAGAAAGAAAAGAAAAGAAAGAAAAGTCAGAATCGAGTTCAGGGATTCCTGATTACAATCCAGACCCTTGGTGGCTCTCTCGTCCCTGGTTTGTCCATCTGAAAATCTGCCTCCAGTCCCTATTTGAAGGGAAAAGGTAGGATTGGCACAGATGGGCATCACTATAGCTGAGAGCAAAATTCCTAGGATTACTGCAGCCCCGGCAGGAGAGCAGGTGAGACTGTGAAAATGGACACCATCTCACCAAAGGAGAGTCGACAGTAATAATAATGGCCCTGAAACTGACCTTCTTACCCCTTTTCTAGGCCACAAATGAAACCCACATCCTGGAACACAGCAAAGGAAGTGAAAATGCCGGGTGAGGACGAAGTTTTCTCAGGAGCAGAGTGAGCAGCGTAGAGTGAGGATGAGTGGCAAAAAATCATCATATACCTATTCCAGCATAAAGGGTGGAAAACAGACTTTGCCAGGGTAGACATTTCGAGGTGGGCTGGGGAAGGCAGAGGCCTTAGAGATCAGAAAGCATAGCATCACCTATTGCTTTCCCAGAAGGCTGGAGATAGTTTCACCAAGAACCCTCGACTCAGTTCACTCAGAAAATTCCTTTTCACGTTATCAAATTTTTAATTATCCTGAAAAATCCTAGTTTTGAAGAAATTGCCATTGGTGAGCCTGGTGTCCAGAAGGGATGGCAATCTGCAAAGGCATGGCAAGGTTTCCTCTCACCAGCCCCGAGCTACAGGGCAAGCTCTCTCTGGGAAAGGCAAAAGCTGTGAGTGAACCACACACACGGTCCGTGTTATTCCAAGGGAGTGTGTGCTTGAATTCACCAGCATGAGCCTTGGCCCAATGCCCTAAACCCTTCTCCACTTCCAGAGCTCAGCCCACAGGAAAGATAGGCTATGCGTCCATTAGTCACACTCATTTCTCTTGCAACCCACCTGTCCCCACCCTTAAACTATCCAAGCAAGAATAGTATGAAAAACTAGCTAAAGCCACCTAATAAACTCGCCTTGGCCGTAAAAATAATCCACCCTTTGGGCTGGAACAGGTATATCAAAGTTCAAAATAATTGCAAGTAAAACTGTCTTAACCACTTTTTAACTAATCGACAGTTCATGTTACAGATATATTTGATAAAAAAAATGGTTTTAACTATTCAGTGATTTCTTTTCTGATTATTTCTTCTCTACTTATGAAGAAAGGATGACTTAATTGACAAGAACTCTGGTCTTCCAAACATTGGAGATGAAGGGTGGAATTTTGTTTCTTTTCAAAGTTTAGGAAAAGGTGAAGTTAATGGGTCCCTCTTTCTTTAACCTTAAAAAAATCAATATAAAATTACATTTCATACACATACATGTGTATACAAAAAGTCATTGATATGCGCACATCTGTAAGAAAGCATTATAGAGAAAAGCATCACAGACTGCCATGAATTAAGGAGAAAAGGTGACAAACACATTTAAAAGTGACAGGCTCAAGCTCAGACTACATATAAAGATTTAAGAAAAGCCTCTAGAGAACACCAAGACTATGGTGTTCTAATTATGGAATTCACAAGAGATGATAGGAATCTGAAAAAAAAAAAAAAAAAACTAGATAAATGAAAAAATTCTGATAATTTTTAAAAGTGTTTGTGTTAATTATAAAATTTCTGGATATATTTATAAAATGGAACGGATATTTTCCGTTGAAATAAAAATGGTTATGCCATTGAAACATGTTGTTGAAAACATTTTTCTTAAACACTACACCTTCTTAATGGTTTGTGTGACTATTTTAATTGTGTATAACCCAGCCCAAATATTTCTCTAAATGGATTCAATCATTCTTTCAACTAGAAGATACCAACTCTCCAGGACAATTGCAATGTTTCTATGCCTTGGACTTGTTCCAAACCCCAGGGGAGGCAGGCAACCACTGAAACTGTGAAGGCTTTGCCTTGCTGGTTACCCTGACAACACAGTCAAGTCTCATTGTCATTATCATGTTATTAATATTTGCAGTCTTTATTTTTTTAATTATAAAATTATTTTTTGAATAATTCAAATAATATACTTTAGAAGCAGCGGACTCCTTTTCTGAGTATGCTTTATAGAAATATGTGTTCTCATTTTCCTTCTCAAATGATTGCATATACTCAATGCACACACTCTGCTGGTAAAAACACACTTTCAAATCAATAAATGAAATGACATTAAGCCTTTGTTCACTTGGCTCTCACCATAAAAAAGAAGTCTGGACAAGAAGGCTTCGGAGGTAATTATAATAAAGTGAGATTTAGCAGCAATTCCATTTCTAAAAAGATGGCTTAAAGAAATAAGTAGACAAGTGAATAAATGTATAAAAGATGTACATTCCATTGTGTCTATATGCTCAAAAAAGAGGCACTTGGTAAAACAAATTAGGATATATCCATACAGAAGAATGCTATATAGTCATTAAAAATGATATATAGCTACAGCTACTGATATGGAAAAATGTTTAGGCTATATAGCTAAGTAAAACAAAAGGGTCCCAAAACAGCATGATGCTAGGCAGTTTTGGTCCACCTGCGCTTACAAATAAAATGTGTGCACTGACAAGAAGTGATATCAAAATATTAACGGTGGGTATTTCTACTGATTTTTCATTTTCTTCTTATGCAATGATTTAAACTATAAATGTCATTTGAATTTTTTTTTACAATGAGCATGTATGTATATATTAGAAAACAATAAAATGACTTTGAAAAAGTTCTCCTGAACATTTTGCATATTTAAAAATAGGAATTTGACAAGCAAATAAACAAAATACCCTCTGGAATTTAAGTTTGTACAGAAGGGTGGACCACAGTGAACGTGGGCTCCGGAGGAAGCTTTGAACTCATTTGGAGTTCTGCTTTGGGAATCAAGTCTGTTTGATGCCTGATGGTCCTTTAAGTATGGAAGGGGAAAGGGCTCTTAGTTGAGCTCGTTGCAACTATAAACATTGCCAATATATCTAAATGCTTCTTCTCTTTCACAATGTATTTCTTTTCAGAATAGTATCTTTATTATTTTTGTCTTTCCATTCCCACATTTTCCCATTTCCCCTCAATGATCATATTGTAGCTGCCAGCCTCCGATAGACACACGGACCACCAGAAACCAGTGAGTTATAGGAAGCACACTGGGTCTGCCAGGGGTACGCAGACCCCAAATTAAGCAGCCCCGAAATGTAGAGGTACAAGGTTTTTAAGCCCTAAATCCCATTCCTCATTCTGTCTTAAACACAAACGTCTATTTTTCTCCTATTCACTACCTGTCAACCCACAGGTCAGGTGTGCAAGTGGGGGTACAGAAGCAGAAAGCTTATTGTTAGAATGTCATGTTCCCATGGGCGATAGCCAAGCAGTAATTTTCCAGCCAGCACATCCACAGCAGTTGAACCATTTTGCATTCCCACCAACAATGCACAATGGTTCCAATTTCTCCACATCCTCACCAACACTTATTTTCAGGGATTTTTAATGCTACTTCCAAAGTGTGAAATGGTATCTCATTAGTTTTGACTTGCATTTCCCTAACAATTAGTGATGTTGAACATCTTTTCATGCACTTAGTGGTCATTTGTATATCTTCTTTAGAGAAATGTCTATTTTAAAATTGAGTTGTTTTTCTGGTTGTTGAATTGTAGGAGTTCTTTATTCTGGATATTAACCCCATATATTGAATATATGATTTACAAATATTTCCTCCCATTCCAGAAGTTGCCTTTTCACTGCCCTCTGATGTAGTTTTTAATTTTGATTAAGTCCAATTTACATTTTTTTCTTTTGTTTTTTGGTGTCAAATCCAAGAAATCACTATCAAATCCAGTGCCATGTAGTTCTCCCCATTTTCTTCTAAGAGTTTTATAATTTTAGCTCTTACATTTAGGTCTTTGATCCATTTTGAATTAATTTTTATATGTGGTGAAAGGTAGGGGTCCGACTTCATTTTTTTCCATATAGATATACAATTTTCACAGAACTTGTTGAAAAGACTTGTTCTAACCCCCATTAAACAGTTTTGGCACTCTTATTGAAAATAATTTGACCACATGTGTGAGGGTTTAACTAAACTCCAGATTTTATTCAGGTATCACCAGCTTTTCCATTAATGTCCTCTTTTATTTTAGAATCCAACTCAGGATACATTACATTTAGGTGTCATGTCTCTTTAGCCTTCTCTGGTCTGTGACAGTTTCTCAGTATTTTCTTGTTTTTCATGACCTTGATAGTTCTGAGTACTGATCAAGTATTTTGTAGAATGTTCCTCAGTAGGAGTTTGTCTGCTGTTTTCTCATGATTCAACTGGCTATGAGTATTTTGAAAGAACACTCCTGAGGGGGAGGGGCCCTCTGATCACCTCACAAGAGGTGATATCCACATGATGGCACTGAGGATGTTAACCTTGGCCACTTAGTTTTTATTCTCCCTCTTTAATTCCTCCCCCACATTTTCAGCCCTGACCTATGGATGTTGCCGTTTCCCCCTTCAGAACTGGATCTCTGAAGGTGGGGCGTCTCCTCCCACATGCTCACATCATACATCCGGGGCCTGGTGCACCCGGGATATGGCCTGTGGCTCCACCTGGGGTGCGAACCCAGGACCCTCTGTGTGTAAAGCAGACGTGCTAACCACTACACTGTGGAGCCACCCTCCCTAAGTTGGTTAAGTTAGTGTTTGCCAGGTTTCTCTGCTGTGCAGATGACTTGTTTGCCCTTTTCATTCTCTATTCACTGGAGTTGAGTCCCTAAATTCGGCCCACACTCAAAGGTAGGGGGGCATGCTGCAACCTCTGGAGCAGAGTCTACCTACATTACTAGGAATTCTTCTTTAAGATTTATCTCTTTTCTCTTCCCTTAACTGTTTCAGAAAACATTTTTACCTCATTTGTAGGTATCCTAGAAATGTAGTTTTGCTTGTTTTTGAAACTTTCCTCGATCATTATTTACAGTATTTTGCTATTAAAGAGCAATGCTGTCAATACTCTTACACATAACTCCTGCTACTCATGGGCACGTTTCTTTAGGAAATATACCTAAGAGTGGAAATGCTGGGTTATAGACCATGTGTCATATTCAAACGTACAAGATAATACCAGACTTTTTCCAGTGTTTTATCAATCTGCATTCTTACTAGCAGTGTATAAAAGTTCCCACTGTTTCACATCCTCACCAACAGTTGGTATTCTTAGTCTTGCTCGTTTTTATCAGTCTAGTAGATATAAAACCTCATTACAATCTTAATTTGGTTTTTCTGGATTACTAATGAGCAACTTTTTATGTTTATTCTCCATTTGCATATTATTTTTTTTAAAAAACTGTTAATCTTTTGCCATTTTTCACTGAATTA